CGGGGGATCTGTTTGAAGTCGGCCTTCACATATGTTTCGTCGTCCATGATGCAGCATTCAACTTTCGTCAGCATGTTGAGGTACAACTTCCTGGCACGGGTTTTGGCGGACTTGTTCTGCTTCTCGTCGCGATTAGGGGCCTTTTGTACCTTGAACGTTCGAAGCCCAGCCTTAGTTTTGGCCTTCTGGACAAAACTTCGGCTTAGGTGCAGCTTCTTAGCCACATCCCTAACGGAGGCGTTCGGATTTCGGTTGAAGGCCCCAACTACGCGGTTGTGATTTTTGGTGTTGTACGGAATACTTTTACCTTCACTTCTGGGCTTCCGATCGGTGGTCAACCGTTCCTCGAACCGCTTAATCACTCGTGACACCGTGGAATTCGCGATTCCCAACGTTTTAGCGATGGAACGATGCGAGAGATCCTTGTTCTCGTGATGAATGCGCAAGATGTTATCACGCACGAGCTGTTCTTTCGACTCCATTTCCGCGAGTTTTGATCACAGGACTTTAAAACTTGCAGGATGTAAATAATGCACTATGAACTAAATCCACCCAAATTTTCATTAAATTCTACCCAACGGTTAAAAAGTTAGAGCAATTTCATAGTGTGGCAATTTCATCGTGGACACCCTTTATACTGTTCTAAAAATTTCATTCATACCTAGTTTTTGTGTGGATTCCATAGATTGAGAGATAAAAATCGGAAAAGAGGCCGTTGCAGGTAAAATTCTCAAGACAACAGAGCCAATAAAAGTTTCAATTAGATTGACAGAACATAGTTGCATTGCTTTTCAATGTCGATCGATGACTGTTTCATTAATAGATGATGGCTCGAGCTCGGGCTCGAGTGACATGTGCATTTGATAAAAAAAAAAAACACGTCTACTGTGGATTCATATTTCTAAAAAAATCACTCTTAAAATCTATATTTTAACCGATTCAAGATCTACTGGCCTCAAAGGAAAAATGAAGGTTCCTAAAATGGCACTCTGCCCGAGCAGGAAAAAATAACTAATGAATACCTAATTCTGATCCGACACAGAAATTTGGTATTGACCAGCATGACATAAGAGGTAAAATACCAAAGAATATTACCAAAAAATTACATGTAAAATACTTTGTAAATACCACAAATTGATATTTAGATACCAAAAGAATACCTGGGTGATATTGTTTTGGTATTGCATAATCAGAATTTGGTATTGGAAGGGTATTGGGAAAATTTTTTTGGTATTTTTTTTTTTTGTATTTTAGCTCTTATGTCAGGCTCACCCATACCAATTTAAGGTACCGTTCCTATTCAAATTTCGGACGATTCAAATTTCGGACACTTTCATTTTTAATTAAATATTACATCCAGTTAGAAACAAAGTAATAATGTTAGATGATCGTGGAGGGCACTAGTCAAAAAAATTTAAAATTTACAAGACATGTGGATCATATTCGACCGAGATAATCAACTTTTAAAAGTGTCCGAAATTCGAGTTTAAGTGTCCGAAATTTGAATCGGCACGGTATCGAGATATTCGTTCCTACTCGGGTAACCAAATTTTTTTTTCCAAGTCCAAAACTAAATAGACATCATGGACCATCAGGTGGATCTGGCCACACCTGGATACGCGGAACCAACTCCAATAAGGCCCCAAAAAGAACACGTCCAAAACGTCATGTGCTGTTACCACCCGACGGCTAAAAAATTTTGATTTCTCACACACAAGTAAATAGACATCATGCCATACAAATCTGATGATGATTGCAAAGTCGCACTTTGTTACAATGTAGATTACCATAACCGTTGTTGTGCAGTGTCACAGTGATTGTAATGCATTTGAGATACCTCCATTACTTCTGGTCCACCAATACATTTTAGAACTCAAATAGTCTCCAGTACTGTGATTGTTTCCATTCTCCGTTTTGAAGAGCATGCACTTCAGCTACTTATAACAGTCTCTTGCAATGTGAATATTCCCACTGCATCTTCTATACATGGATCTGTCTTAGCCTTTGCGGTTTCTCACCTGGTGACCGAAGCCCGTGAATTTGAAGCATTCCAAAAACTAATTTTAACGTTAACGTTTTTTTAATGTAGAACAACGTCTTTGTGGACTGTACTGGGAGGCAAATAAAAAAAAAATGTGTAACGAAATAGTGTTAGGTTTGAAACGCCTATAACTGGGCATTTTATTGATGGAATTAAATTCTTTTGATACCCTTTGAATCATAATTTATGTAAGATCTGTTTGTTACAAAGAAACTATTGAAAATTGATGAAACTTTTAAGCCACAATTAAAAAAAAAATATTGAAAAAAAATATTTAAGTTTAATCCATACAAGAGCACTAGACATGAATGCACCATTTGATTTAAAGTGTCTATAATAAAAAAAATACAAGGGTGCAAAGGGTAATTCTAAATAAGTAACCAGTTCCAAATTTACCATGACATCTCTGAGTTGCGGTCTTCATCAAAGCTGTTCAGATGCATAAGGCCTATTGGAAGGTGAACAGCTGAGTTCAGAATTCGTCTTCCAGGTGGCACTAATAAATTATTCGCTGAACTTCACACCTTGACTAGATAGAAAGTTTCTGTCTTTGGAAAAGTTTTTTCAAGTGAAAGAGACTTATTGGATGGTGTACATCACACTAGTATACTTTTTACTTCTTATTGCTAGTACACCAATTAGCTTCTCATTGATTTAATTTGGGATTTAGACTAGATAGAAGGAGGCGGTCATGGACAAAGTTGTTCTGATAATTAAGACCTATTGGATGATGGATAGCTCAGTCCAGAATTCACTCGCCATGTGACACTAGTGTACAATTTTTCATCTTATTGCATGCTTTACCTTGACAGTACGACTAGATAGAAGTTTGCAGTCTTCAGTTATGAATGACAAGACCTATCGTATCTCACTCGAAATAATCACTAAACACTAGTACCATTTGAAGATAGAAGCTTGCTGTCAACACGACCTATTGTATAGAGGACAGCTCAGTTCTTAGTTCTCTCACCAGGCGTAGCGAGTATACGATTTGACTTATAATTACTTTCTATAACTTGCAAACTCAACTAGATAGATGGTTGCTGTTTTTGACAAAGTTGATCAGATTTATAAGATCTATTGTATGGTGGCCAGATAAGTTGAAAATTTCTTCACCAGTGCATGAACTGACTTACTACCTTTGGCTGAGTTGCTCAGATGCACATGATCTATTGGATGGTGCACAGTTTAGTTCAGAATTCTGTCATTAGGGACATAAAGTGATTAGTCATAGTTATTAAATCCCAACTGGAACTTTGCTTTTGTTTTCAACTTTCATGTCATCTATTGTTTTGGGACTGGCGTCGATACTCGAGAAATGGAGATTACACGAATCAAACGTATTGGCTTGTAACGTATATGATTTGAAATCCGGAGACGAACCAGCCCAGGGCTGAAAGTCTCCTTAATAAAGATATATAAAAAAAAGTATATGATTTGCAACTTTCATGGCATACATCAGCGCAACAAAGCCGGACAAAGACTTATCAAAATGGTACCATAATGTTTGCAAATTTAAATACAGCCCTACCCAACAAACATTGACAGTTGAATAAGACCTTATGCAGGCAAAACTATGTTTCTTCAGCTAAAAAATAGCTTCTTCAGCTTTTAATCAGCTCAAATTATTTGTTGGGTATGCCTTGTGTAAACGAGGATAAGTAAGTTCAAACTCACAAAAATATGTTAATTTTAAACAATTTAATTGGCGTTAATCTATTGAATTACAGCGTTTGCTATTTGATAGATTTTTGCACAGAACACAGATAAATGACAAACTCAAATGAGATTCAGTTTATCTGTCATAATTTTGCAACATTAAAATGTAATAATATGGTGTGACCGGTTACTGTAAACACACATTATTCAGAGGTACCTGAATGCTGGTTACTGCTATTATTTTGAATCATTTAACCTAGTGTCTCACTTTCCAACAGGTGCTACCAATTTTTTTTATTTTGTAATCGTAAAATTGAACATATTTGTAGTTCTGTGGTTGAAACGTTCGCTCAATTGATCATAAGTTAACAAAGTTACATCATGTCAAAGTTGACCATCTTGTATGGAAATTGGTATGCGCTGGCGCTGCTATTATATTGTACACAACTGTATATGTTTGGAACCTTATTTTAAATGGGATAGGAACTGAATTTTTAAATATGAAAATTGGATTCAATTAAGGCTATCAAATGTCTCCTAAATTTAAAACTTTGAATTGAATGTTTGTTTATTTTAGAATAAAATTTATAAATAAAAAATTAAGTAATTATTAATTAAATTACTAAGCAAAAAACAATTTCATAGCCCTACAAAACTCTTAATTTTTATCCTTAATTAACTCATAGAGTTTGTCGATCATGACCTCCGTTATTTTGGATCTCCATGTTGCAAACCTTGTTGTTTGACTTGAAGTTTGCTACTGCTGTGTTTCGGTGCTACATCGTGCTCAACACTAGTCCTAGTTGCTCCCCTGAGTGTCCTTGTTGCTGTTCTTCTAGGGGTTTTAAGTATCGTATGCTTTATCGAAAAGATACAAACAAACAATTACTAAGGCTTGCAAACATCAAATGAAGTATCGGAGTGGTACTGTCATCAATATGTAAAATGTCATGAATACCATCAGGGCACATCCAGGTCAACCCAGACACCCGGTGGAATCGTCTCTCAGTCTATAAGTTTTGGACTCTTCAGCTGATTAATGTGGCCAACATTCGTGCCTGATAGCGTTAAGATTAGGTGCTGACCGAAATCAAAGGATTTTGACTTCCAGCAGCCATAGACAAAAGTTGTTGTTGCCGTCAAATTTGCAAATACGAGGTGCCATTCATCTGACAAATCGGCGCCCGAAAGTGACATACCCTTTGCAGGCTGCAATGTTTTGGAATCACATTATACCCTTCCTTGTATTTGTACAACTGAACAATTTACATCAATTGATATCTATTCTCCTCATTTTCAGCTTGGCCCAGTGCGTCAAGGCGATGCTGGCATTTGCCATCTACATCACTCACGGATTGGCTTGCTACGTGGCGATCGACATCACCTGGAACGATTATGCCAAGAAACACTTAGGTGATTCGCCTCGAAGTGTCTTCTACGAGTACATCGTCCGGACGTTCCTGGTTCTCATCACATGTAAGAACCTAATTCTCCGCTGCCGCAAATTACCACTTATTTCACTAAAACCACATGATTATTTCAGTCCTACTGGCCGTGGCTATCCCGAACCTGGAGCTGTTCATCTCGCTGTTTGGTGCTCTCTGCCTATCGGCACTGGGCATTGCCTTCCCGGCACTGATTCAGACCTGCACCTACTGGCATCAAAGGCACGGTTGGGCCAAGACCTGGATGGTCACCAAGAACGTCATCATCGGAGTCATTGCCATCGTGGGGCTGGTGGTCGGTACCACTACCAGCCTCAAGGAGATCGTGCAGACCTTCTTCGAGGATGAGTAGATTCGTGTGCAAGGAACGAATTTCAGTGCGTGATAACCAGTAACGACGAAGAAACAGTGATTCAAGCGCAGTACACGTTAGATGTGCTTGCGAGTATTAATGAGCCTTACACCGACGGAGGATCAGCTCCAACCAATGCCAACGGGGACGGGTTTCTTCTATTCGTTCGATTCCGGTGAGGGAACAGGCTTTCCCACCTGGTCGAGCGGAACAGTTTTGATAGCATTCCTAAAACAAAACGGTTTTAAACTGTGTGTAGATAGAATTGGAACTAGAAAATATCATTCAGTGTAGTTTGTAGAGCATTACAATGAGCGACCCCACAGACAACTACTGTATCGACACGTGAATATGTTCTCGTAATTTAAGATTGTAAATTTATATCGCTAGAGTGATAGAAAATCATGTGCCAACTCAATTAAGTATTGAATTGCTAGGATTAAGATACTGACGATCAGTATGCTGCACAATCTATGGATTGTTTAAATGTCGAAATGCAGTTTTCGAAGATAAATATTTACGAATTTTATAGCATGCTGTGTATTTAGGTTAATCCTTTTGATTCAATAAAGCGTCAATTTCAAACTATAGAATAGTATGGTTTTGTGTTTTGAGTTTTGAGTTTTGACAGAGATTCTGGAAAGCAGCATAAATTCAAGTGCAAATCCAGAGAATGATGGGACTTACTAGCTGCTCTCTTGCGGCATGTCTTGAACATGTCCTGTCATGACAGGAAAGGACCGGGAGCCGCTCCAACCAGAAGCCGTTTCGGAGGACGGGTCAGAGGATGCTGTCACAAAAATTGTAATTTGACACATAACTACTTACTTTCTGACGTTTATAACACGCACTCTTGCGTAATCTCAGTTTGAAGCGTTTGTTACCCTCACTTTCGGCGTCTTCACTCCACCCAAAAGGTTCGTTTGATTATTATTTTCCTCACTTTCGGATCATCAATTCTTGCGAATATAGAAAGGACTATGTAGGGGAAATGAATGTAATGTCGGCCTAAATGTCCGTAATTTGGGCCCATACATAAATTCAGCCTTCGACTAAATTTTCAATAGTGACCCAAAGTATCCATTAGTACCGTCCCAATGACGCGTTCATCTAGATAAAATTAATAAATAGCAGCTTTTTAGCTATGGGCCCAATGTTAGATCCATAGGCCAACATTAGAGCCATTTCCCATATTTTTTCTTGATGTTGACGGTTTACATTATTTTTTTTTATATTTATTAAGGAGACTTTTAAAGCGCGGTTTACATGTTTGAATTTCAAAAGACACAGCTTTAGCAAACGAAAAAAAAAAAAATACAGTTACTAGTCCTAGCAGGCTTGTTTAGAGTATGACCAACCAGTGGAACTAACGATGTTAAATTGGCTCACTACTTGACTAGCCTATTTGATCCCAAGAAAATTGATTAACGTACCCCATTCTAGTCGAAATTCTAGTACTACACTATGTTTGTTTTGATTCGCTATGAAAGTTTGACAGGGTTCGTGGATTTTCCTATGTTTCGAGGGGTGCATCGATTAGCTTGGGACCGAAGAGAGTATCAAAGCTGAGCCAAAAGGTTGAGCAGGTTTCTTCGGGACTTTTTGGTCTTAGAGTTACCTCTATGGTATGACCATCTTGGTGGAATTTGTATGTTTGGTAAATTGAAGATGTGGTCACTAAAGTCTACACACTAATTTAGAGCCAACTTTTTTCTCAATGTGCCTCACGTGTGTCGGCTGTGCCGAGAGTGCCAGTCGCCGGACTGACATTGTATGCTTGTGATTAATGGCATGTTTGGCAACCCGGTCAATTTTACAGTTCAAATGTTTTATTTTGAAGCGACAACACAACTAGCAGTGGAATCCGAACCAAGAGACGATGATCCAGAGGCATTTCAGTAGGATATGCTGATACCGGACAAACTGGCCCAACCGGATGATGGTGATCCAGCTCCTCCGACCGCTCAACAAAGCCAACATCCAAACGCATTCGATTTCATTCTAATTGACCGTGGTGGTTTGCTTATCGAAACCCGATAGGATAAATACAGATACCGGGAGTACACCCGGATGATTTTACAAAGTCCGGTTATACAGTTTTCTACACGGATGGACATTTAAATGGCCGGTGTAATTGGGAAAAAAAAGCTCAGTTTCTTGACGAACAACTCCGATCATTATGGTCCTGGTAGCTTGAATGTTTTGACATAAGTCCGTTGTCAGTTGTTCTCTAAAATTTTCAACTCAGGGGTGCCAAACATTGCCAATGAGTGTGTCCAACTGTGTTTTGGCACACTGTGGGGAGTGACCATCCCCTTGGGTAAATTGGAAAAGAAGCTATTCAATACTTTATAAAACGAAGCTTTAGTGTGATAATTTATTATTATTATTATTATTATTATTATTATTAGAAGAAGGAAGGTAGATAGTTCCGTTAGAGTACGGCAGTATGAAAATTGAATAGAAGTTGAAAATGAGCGATGATTAATTAATGCGACAGACAAAATCAAACGCACTCTTCTTTGCCTAACCCGTACGATGTAGGCGGAGATTTAAAGTATGTCTTCAAATCTACAGGCCTTTGCTAATATACTGTCTGCAGCTTCGGAATAGTTCTAGTGACGTTTCATCACTACCAAAAGCCCCACGTTGCCGAAAGCATTTCCAGCCGATGGTGTGTTATAAAGCAATTCTTCTTTACCCAACTATTGTGTTGCTCCGCTCGTCATGACAAATTTCTATTAATTTTCGCTCATTTCCAACTTCTATTCAATTTTCATACTGCCGTACTCTAACGGAACTTTCTACCTACCCTCTTCTAAGACCATTCTCGAGCTAATAAATTATCACACTAAAGCATCATGTTAGATAGCTTTTGCAATAAACTCTGAAAATCGAAAACTTTGCGTCTGAACATCAAAACACTTTGAATATATTTAATACTTATATATACAACCTAAATACATCTATCCTAATCTACTATGTACACTAGACTGATGCAAAATTTTAAATTTTTGCTCCAAGAACTCAAACGGTTCCAAATCGGGTCCTGAAAAGCCTACCAAAATTTGAACTCATTTGGTAAAACACTGATTTTGTTTTTCTCCCTTGATTTGTTTTCCGTCGATCTTGTTTTTCGTACTCAGTACCAATGCTACCGACGCCAGGGAGGCAGCTTCCACACCTGGGCCCTACCTATCGACCAAGAAATTGACATGGCACAAACCATTTGTAGTTTATATGGAAAAACAAACTTTTTGTTCAAGTCTCGTAGCCTTTTTCCATATTGCACTGTTAAAAAGTTCTAACTATTCTAATGGGAAGTTTTCTTAGCTACAACTCTAAGCTAGTTTTTCAGTCAAACGTCAAATTAAATAGTTATTAATTGCTTAAGAGATTGATAATTTTATGTCATCATCAAGCAGCTGTTTTGAATGCAACACTACATTATGCAGTGTGACATAGTAGCCATGATTTGTGTGCTCTTGAGCACCGTCTACGGTCAAATTTTGTTTCAGTCTAATGTACACCTTACCTACTAAATACAAATTGCTTATCAAAGCATGTTCTGAAATATGACATTTCTGCACACATCTAGTCTTAGGCTGTGTTCCATTAGGTGGATTTTCACTTAAATTTGTCAGATGGAAAATTTTCAAATCTACCTGCTATTGTACCGGACTTATTTCTGACAGACCAAGAATCAATTTTGATAAACACGTTCTCGAAAATAGGGTGATCAAAAACAACATTACAATTTATTTTCGAAACGTCAAATTTAAGCGAAAATTTACCAAATGGAACACAGCCTTAATGTCAGCAATTTTAACATCTACTAGCTGAGTGTGCTCGGGATTCAATATTAGCTTGAGTTTATGCGCCAATTAAAAAACGCATGTACGCAGCCCCCCCTCTTATCTAAGGGGATACCCCATATGACCTCCACACGCCAAATTTGGTTCCATTTGCTTGATTAGTTCTCGAGTTATGCAGAAATTTCTGTTTCATTTGTATGGGAGCCCCCCTTTACAGAGGAGGAGGGGTCTCGAACCATCATAAGAACCTTACCCTGCCCCAAAAACCCCTGCATACAAATTTTCACGCCGATCGGTTCAGTAGTTTCCGAGTCTATAAGGGTCAGACAGACAGACAGAAATTCATTTTTATATATATAGATTTTCGGAACGTTCACCTCCAGATGGAGGTTGGATTTCCTTGTGTCAAATGGACAATTGTGTACATGAATCCCACATCGGAGCTGCGTAGAAGATCGCAGGTGCTATGGTCATATGCGTAGCTAATGGAGTTGCCTAGGGTTCATGGCCCCCTTCATAATGATCAAGGTCCCCTCCATAATGATCAAGGCCCCTCCAGATTCTAATACCGACAATTTAAATTATGTTACTCTTCAAAATTTTTTGGAGGGGGCCTGTCCCTCTAGGCACTAGCTTTGATTTGTTTGTATACAGTCAATTTATTCACCCTTGATATGCGGGTTCTGCGGTAAATGTCTATATCCGCAGAGACCTAACCAAGTTGAAACACTTAACTACGGTATTCTCTATGTGCGAGCAGAAGAAGAGCTTCTTATCTAACAACATCCCGGGATAAAGGGCTGTTCACAAACTACGTAGACCGATTTTTAGAAGTTTTAGACCCCCCTCCCCCATCGTTCATACAATGTTTTAGAAACTTGTATGAACCGTACACATTTGTCAACCCCCCCCCCCTCCCTCAAGAGTCTACGTAGTTTATGAACAACCCCTAAGTATCCTCCGTGGACCACTCAACCCTTGCGTCATTCATGATTAATGTACAAGATGAAGCCGGTTTTAGTATAGAAGACTGCCAATTTAACGATGATAGTGATGGTAGTGGTTTACCACCCATTGTAGCACGGAAACTAAGTCCGACAGCAGTGGGCTCTCTTCTCTGTTTGTCTTGATCAAGCTTAATAACCTCTGATTGTCCTCAACATGTCGCTGTATGAAGGGCCAAACACGGATTGGGTAGATCGATAGGCAAAGTCGCCTATACGCATCTACGGAACAATAAAGAATCTCCCAAGGCATTCCCACTCTCCCCGTCCAAATCGCTTCAATCGGGTGCCCTGTTGAACTGTCCCTTCCCTTTTATATATGTATTTCAAGGTATATTCGAGTTGATTGTTATTATTATTGTCAATAATACTTACATTTCGATGAAGATCGAGCTACTTATTTTACCTTTTTTGTGATACTCAACATCACATAATCCAACCTTGAATCGTAGACCAGGTCCATCAACAATACACTCGTTCCGAGAAGCGGCTCATGGTTATCATCTTCTTTTTCTTCAGGTTCGCTCACCACCCGGAATGAAGGCTCGGCGCGGTTAGTGATATCAAACAGTGTTACATGCAAACGAAAAAGAGATACAACCAGGATTAGTTTTTTAAAGTAATAATCATCTGAATACCCGACTAACCATATCTCACTGACATTGTCTCACTATGAGCCTACATTAAAAGTTATTTTGTGATTATATGGTTACACTCAGATCTTTTTTTACACGGGGGATACGTACCGTGTAAAAAAAAACCTACAAGATTTTGATTTTTCACATGCTTAAATGTTTGTAAAAAATCGGATTTTGATGCCATTTGTAATTATAGCATGCTATGGTCCATATAGACATATTTAAAAAATTTCTGTATTTACACCAAAAATTGTGATTTTTTTCTAAGTATGCCATTCGATTACCTATAGCTTGAAACGGATAATGTGATTGAAATCAAGTCGATAGGTTGTATCGTTGTCGAGAAATCGTTAAAAACGTACCGTGTAAATCCCGAAAAACCGTGTAAAAATAACCGTGTAAAAAAAACCGCGTAAAAAAACCGTGTAAAAAAGACTTCAGTGTACTTTGGTACTCACATGAAATGTTGTGCAAGTACCACAAGTTCAACAACGCCCAAATATGGACAGTAGACTGATGCAGAATTTGAAATTTTCGTTCCACAGTGTTCAAACGGTTCCAAATTGGGCCCTGATTAGCCTCCCAAAATTTGAACTCATTTACTGAGACTTGGCACAAACCATTTGAAGTTTATATGGAAATTACATTTAGGAAGTTTATTGATATGAGCACTATCGTTTGAAATGATTTTAATAATCATATACTAACATCAAACTGAACATTTTGCCGTAAATAATGAAAGTTTCAAAAATGCCTTAAAAGTTGCACTAAGTAAAACTTTTTGGTTAAAAGTTTGTCCATCCTGGAGTTGTTTTCAAAACCTCTGCTTTCTATTCAAGTTTTTATTAAAAAAAACTTAAAAAAAAATCAAAAATAGGTTTTTTTTGTTATTTGAATTTTAAGGTTTTTTTTTTATTTTTTTTTTGTAAAAACAAAAAAAAAATTCCGTGTTTTTTTTTATAAAGCCTTATTAGTTTCCTACAACTCCATCTTAGTATTTTTTTTTTCTGCAACCAACTGTTTTCGAACTACATTTTTTTTAAAGTATGCAAGCGAAAACACATAGGCCCTTTTCAAAAATTACCCTAGAGTCAAAAGGGTCTCCTCTCCTGCGGAAAATACTTGCTCTATCATACTGAAAATATGGACAAAGTATCATCCAAATCGAAGATGGTCGAGCACGATTTCAGGTTTTTTTCAGCTCATTCTGGATGGAATCCCTCAGGAGAAAGGTTGAGGATTTGATTTGGTTACTTACTAGTAGTTTGGGAACTTCGTTTGGTCTGAGATTTTGCCCACCAATGTTTAGGAATTTTTTTTAGAAATTGTTCAGGGTATTTCCTAAAATTTGGAAAGTAAAGTATGATATGAGATAAATGAGAGAACAAAAATTATGGTGCTTGGAAAAAAATTGACAGAACTTTTGGAAATGAATCACAATTTCAATAAGTAAGGATACAGGGACTTTGTAGATGTTCACCTGTAGAGTACGGTGCTGCTCATCATGCAGCATCGATAAAGTGAAAATGTTTTCCAATGTACCATATCGACTAGATAATACACTATTTGATACAACTTCATCAACTTCAGGGACAGACGCATCGTTATTTTAGGCAGATTTATATTTATATCTCTCTAATAAAGTTTTAAAAAAAATATTTTAAGGGCGCAGGTCAATATTCGGTGCGACTACTTAGCTCAAATTTTAGGAACACAACACTGGTTATTTGTAAATGTATACATCCTCAGAATGTATTGTCATGTTCGGTATTTTTGTTTACGAAATCTCATTAGCTGAACGTTCGGTTAAACTTATTTTTTTATTTTAAAGCCTATTTTGTTCAAACATAATTTCAAAACACGTTAAATCTTGTTCAAATGATCAAAACTTGTAATTATAGTGGAGATTTCGTTTTAAAGTAGCTTTAAAACAATTATATTGAATTGCTCAAATTTTACCGAACAGTTTAGTTGTTGAGATTTCGGTAAAAAATTAGCGTAGTCGCTGTTTATTTCTAATTTTGTCGACTGAGTAAACATTTTTCAAACACTTTATGTTTGTTCAAGCTCGGATCGAATTTACGCCGCCATGTGTAATCAGATCATCGGTATGTTTCATATCATATGAACAACTGCTAACTACTATGAAACAGCCCATCATCAAAACATCGCAGCCACTCTGCGCATGATTCGGCTCTCCGTCAGAAACGCCACAATTTCTGCCACCACACGCGATTCAACCTTCTCGCGGGTGACGAAATTCTCATTGCTCACATTGTGTCCTCATCTCCCGCAGCACACAAGGCGGACTCACCAGCACCGTGCAAGATCCATTCACTATCCGATGAGGACGCTGTTGAATGTTGATAAACATACTATAGTGGGCATCCTGCTCACTGCAATGCAAACTTTCACGTGCTGCTTAAATATTTAAAATCTCTCTCTCTCTCACGCTTTGGTCTCCCTCGTGCTACTCGGTGCCGGTACCGTGAGGTGGTTGGGGGGGTTGTGAAAACGGATGGTCCCATCCACCACGACGACGACGCAGAGGGTGCGGAGACGGTTTCATCGTTTGTAAACTTCTATTCAAGGCTTTTGTACTACGTAGGCTGGTCGTAGGGAAAATTTTCTCTCGCAGTTTCACCACATCAGCCGAGTCGTACTGATCTCCTGATTGGTCTTCTCGAAAGGAAAATAAACTGTGCAGTGAAGCTCATTTCAAGTGCAATTCTTGATCCTAGTGGGTTGTTGAGTGTGATATTTGAGTAACTGGGAAATTGTGTATTGTTCGACGTATTATCACGGATTCTAGGAAAATTGTGACTGAAAGTTACGCTGCTGCGTAGTGTTTGGATAGTTCGACAGCTCATCAGGATAACCACCGTGTCTAGCACGATTGTTACAGGGTGTATTATGTAATTTGGTGCAAAGTGCATTTCGTCAGATTTTTGTCAAGTGAGTAGAGCCGAATTTCAAGCTACAAATTACCCATCACCCGCAAAAATGCATTTCGGTGCAATGTCATAGCACTTCTTTTGGCAAGTAGCAGCAAGGTGGTTACAGAAATTTCGTTCATCAACACCATTAACCACGAAAAAGTGTCTGGGAGAGCCCTCATGGTGGATGTCTAAAAATACATCCCAAAACAAATGGGTGGGATGGGAGGCAAATTTTACCACCCACCACTCACTCCCACGCCCTCACAAGCCATTCGTGGGATTATGCACTTTACAACATCGTGTTACCGCGTGCTAGAGTTACAGCAACATATGTCTACGCTATTCTATACCGTACACTTAGGAGTGTTTTCATACGATCCGAAACACGCTGTCAAACAAGAACGGTTCGTGCAAGGATTTTTGAAGAGCTCATTGATTGCATGCTGCCGTAGCACGGGATGATGAAAGGTTGAAACGAGCAATCGCAGACTGTGTGTGTTTTTTTTTCTTCTCTCCAGTCGTTGTTTATCCTTCTTCGCATCGGATTGATGATCCTTTATTCAAGAGAGACGTAAACGATTCTTTTGTTAGGATGGGAGGGAAAAGTTTGGACTTCAATTTTATTTTTTTATGGAAGGGTATGCGAGTTTTGTGCACTTAACAGACAGGAATTTGATTGAGCCGATAATTGTATAAATTGTTGGATTTCAAACCTCTTTGTAAATGAGTGACATAAATTGACCTTAGATGGATTCATTCGGTTTTCTACGAACGTTTGAATATTTTCAAATCCAGTTTAACCCCTTAGTTTAAACAGTAAATCGTTAGTGATGAAACAATGCTATAGTCTTTTTTTTCCTTTGATTTGTTTTCCGTACTAAGCACCAATGCTACCGACGCCAGGTAGGCAGCTTCCACACCTGGACCCTACCTATCGACCCATACAACTCATGAACCGGGGACCACCGGCTTTACTTCCCGAAGGAAGGCGTGATCAGAGATGTTATGCCTCAGAATATCCTGGCGGCGCCAACTGGGATTGAACCCAGGCCTATATGACGTCAAATTTTGGATGGCAAAAGCAAACAATATATAAAGCCATTTTTTTTAACTCTTTATTTGTTCCAAATTCAAAATAAATTACATTTCATTTTAACCTAGGTGCTCCAGTTACTACAGTAACTTACCATCCTTAATTGTTATGATATATATCTAAGTGTTTTTACATTGTTCCTGCCTTGGCAATACAGTATTTAAACAGATTTTCCAAATTTGTGATCAAAATTTTACCACCTTCTTTAAGCGCTGGAATAGGCTTTTGAGGTTTTTTCAAAATTTTTGTGACTTTCCAAAAGGGTTTGGAACTCGGGTCTAATTTAGAAACATTTTTTCCAAAAAATTTGTTCCTCAGGGCAGAGAATCGCTTTTTAATTTGTTTTTGCAAATCCCGCCAGATAACTTTCATGGCAGGATCGCGTGTTCTATAATATTGTCTCCTGTGGACTTTTTTTTAAGACCGATCAAGAGCTGAAGATCGGCGTCTATTATAATTGAATCGAATTTAACCTCGCATTTTGGTACTGAGGCAGCTCTTGCTTCAACTATAGAAGTAGTCAGAGATTCAAGAGCATAATTAATTTCATCATTGGTTTTCAAAGGAATGTTTGGATTGAAGTTATATTCCATAAATGTTCGATATTGCTCCCAATCAGCTCTATGGTAATTGAAAGTAGAGCTGTTGGGATTACAAATTATTTCGTGGGATTTTTCAAAAGTTACTGGAAGGTGATCAGAACCGAAGTCAGCATGGGTAACGAATTGGCTACAAAGTTGACATGAATCATTTAAGATCAAATCAATAGTTGAGGGATTTCTTGCAGAAAAAAAAGCATGTTGGGCTGTTTGGATATTGAATAGTGTAATAACCTGCAGAACAATCATCAAACAGAGTATTACCATTGGAATTGCTTAGAGCATTATTCCATGAGCGGTGTTTTGCATTAAAATCACCAATAATGAAGAATTTAGACCTATGACGGGTAATATAAAGCCAATGATTATCAACATTGTGGTTCTAAGCCATTATAGTGGACCTTTAACTAACCATTGCTTAGTATGAATCTCTGAAAGCAGAGTCGATCTGAGATAATTTTGAAAACTACTTTTCCTTGCCCTACGTTCTATAAGACCTGATGTTCAATGTTACACGGTGTCTCTGGCAGACTAACATTATTATATAAACATCAGTATAGCTAAAACACGCTCCAAACGAAATCAAAGGTGACCCTCTTTCATTTGAGAATAGTTGCAAAATGTTCATCGGGGGTTATTCCCTCCCCTTGGCTAGTTTTTGCACCTTGCTGTTGGTGGGCGGGCTTAATTTCATGCTTTATAGTGGAGTGTTGGAGACGGTAGGTTTGTGGTCGGCGTTGCTGGCTCATGCCGCGATAGAATGGCGTCATGGGCAGGCAATGGGGATTACTAGGCTTCCCCTCTCTGATAAACCACTGTATGAGAGAACCAAAGATCTAGTCTAGCAGTGATAGTATCACACTTGTTACTCCTTTTATTGAGAGCCGCGTCGTAGTACGCTTACGTATAGGCACTGACGTTAGGTGAGATACTGGCGGGTTTTGCTGCAAATCACTCTTATTTTATTTATTTTTTACGCAGATAGATTTATTTGGGCTTGCAAGGAAATTATACTATTGAAATATTTCAGAAAGTGCCCATCGGTGCTCCTTCTATTTGCGTGACAAGCTTTCATTGTTGTTTTCATTGAGGTATTACTCAGGGAACGATGTTAAACGCCATTTTGGTAAATGGTATTGTAACTAATCTTATATGTGCTTCATTTTGATTTGGGATAAGTGTTTGAACTATGGCTCGGGATTTCCACTGTGGCGTGCTTCTATTGTGACATACCCATATGTATTGTTGTGATGCGACATAGTGGAAGCGTGAGAGCGTAATTGGAACATATACCCTATATAATTTAAAAATCAGCTAGGAAACTAACTTCAAAATGAAGCATTTTAGTCACTTGAAGGTGTTACCTGGGTCGAACTAAGATATAATAAATAGGTATAGGCTTAAATCAAAAGTACTTGAAACACGTTTAATTTTAGATTGCAAGCACAAGTGCAGAGATTTAATAAAGCATGGGTTATGATTGATTGGGTGAATTAGAGCTTTTAATAATTTATTAAATTAGACTTATGAGATATCATAATCATCAAATGAACTTAAATAAGAAACTTCAGAAAGTCTAATGACATTAAGTAGATTAACAAAAGAATTAGGATGCTGGATGATTAAAGTTGTAGAATAAATCTTCTTATTTAGTCTTGAACTTTAAATAGAAAACGCAGGCAGACCAATAGCATTAAGCAGATTTACAAGGAGAGGAATAGTTTAGGAAATAAAAAAAGGAAAGGAATGTGACAACTAATAGCTTTTAAACTTTTGAAAGTATTCTATTCCCCTGAGTTTGTTGTACTCGATTACTATATATATGTATATTAGACCTGTTCATTTTAATTGAAATGTTTGGAATGTAACGGGTCAACCGTGATTACTGTTCGTCATGTTAATTTGAACTTTTGTGCAAATTTTCAGCAAAATCGGTGCTGATTTAGAGGTGCTTCTAGTTAATTTTATGTTTTCAAGGTAATTTACGGCTTATAATATTTGTATCTCGAGACTGAAACAACGAAAACTGCTGTAACAACTTTCATAGCAAAGCTTAATGTGTTATCTACCAACTTTGTGACCCAAGGTTGACTATTCAAAGTGGTTTTATTGAAGTTTGACTTAGTTTCATGCTCAAAGATATCTTAAAAAGTGAAGAATTTTAAAGTATTTGTTCTACGAACTCTCCACCCATATGATATAAAAATGTGTAGTCTACGGTATAATGTTCCTCATACTATTCTAGAAATTTCGTTGATACATAGTTTTCGTGTTTATTTCATAGATTGAGAGATAAAAATCAGAAAAGAGGCCGTTTTAGCTGAAATTCACAAGACAACAGAGCCAATAAAAATTTCAATTAGATTGACAGAACATAGTTGCATTGCTTTTCAATGACGACCGATGACTGTTTCATTGATATATGATTTTTTCATAAATATGAATCCTCAGTAGACGTGTTTTTTATCAAAGGCAAGTGTCACTCGAACCATAACAGCAATTTATAAAATAACGAATATTTTGAATGGCTCGAGTGACACTTGCCTTTGATAAAAAACACGTCTACTGAGGATTCATATTTATGAAAAAATCATATATCAATGAAACAGTCATCGGTCGTCATTGAAAAGCAATGCAACTATGTTCTGTCAATCTAATTGACTTTTATTGGTTCTGTTGTCTTGTGAATTTTAGCTAAAACGGCCTCTTTTCTGATTTTTATCTCTCAATCTATGAAATAAACACGAAAACTATGTTGGAATGAAACTTTTAGAACAATATGAGGAACATTATGCCGTACACTACACATTTTTATATCATACGGGTGGAAAATTCGTAGAACAAATACTTTAAAATTCTTCACATTTTAAGATATCTTCGAGCATGAAACTAAGTCAAAATTCAATAAAATCACTTCGAATAGTCAACCTTTGGTCACAAAGTTGACACATGACACATTAAACTTTGCTATGAAAGTTGTTACAGCAGTTTTCGTTATTTCAGTCTCGAGATACAAATATTGTAAGCCGTAAATTACCTTAAAAACATAAAATTAACTTGAAGCACCTCAAAATCATCACCGATTTTGCTGAAAATTTACACAGAAGCACAAATTAACATGACGAACAGTAATCACGGTTGACCCGTTACATTCCGAACATTTCGTTTAAAATGAACAGGTCTAATGTATATATATATATATATATATATATATATATATTAGACCTGTTCATTTTAAACGAAATGTTCGGAATGTAACGGGTCAACCGTGATTACTGTTCGTCATGTTAATTTGAACTTTTGTGCAAATTTTCAGCAAAATCG